AAACATGTTGTGGACTTTACTTTAGAATGGCACATGTATATCTTATTTGCACTATTTGTTTCTTTGGAAATCTCTAGATGTATACAAAGTTGATCCCTTGATCCTGTCACAGCTGTGCTTACATGTTTATACGTGGTCTTTTTCAATTCTTGCATTGCCTGCGAAAGCTGAGAATGTGTTCTGGATGCATAGATAATTTTGGGCGCAGCCCAATTCAAGTTGGGAGATTGATCCCCTGCACCATCTTTCAGTCCATTACTTAATTGCTTGAAAAAGTGTCCACCAAAGTCGGGTTTCTCGATAGCCCCAACTAACGACTCTGCTTGTAGTTGAGCTTTTTTTGTTAATAACCAACTTAAAGAAGAACATAGAAGACTGAGCGTTTTTCCCGTACCTGAAACATTAATTTTCAAGTCAAATCCAAAATTTTCATCGCTAATAACGTATACAATAAAGAAGTGACTCCGTTGTACCGGTCGGTGATTCCAATACACCATTTTTACTATTTTGAAGACACTCGATCACTTTAGCCATATATTCTTCTTGCACACGGTATGGTTTAAAAGGAAAACTTACAACAACGTTATTTATCGTTACGTCTGTCATTGTGTCGTTATCAGTCAGCTAATACAAACGATCTTTTTCACAACATAAGAAATACTGAAAGTTAACTTTGCAGGCATATCCTTGACCAAGACCATTTGGTGCACATTCCCGCCAAATTCTAAATCCAGTGAAGAATATGACACATGGCCAGTATTCGTTATCAGACTGTAAAGAAAACAAAGTGTACTCCGCAAGTATTCGACCTTTGAGCGGCTTAGCTACTCGAAAGGCACTAGTTGAACGTTTGTTCAGTTAGATGTACCTGTGCAAATATACTTGTGTAAATAAATTTGTAAATTTGTGTACATAAAGTACTTTACTTACTATACCTTTATACTCCACAACGTTGCAACACTTTCGTGAGGCACTCACGATACATGTTTATAATATCATAAAAACTCTATACGTCGTTCAATTATTAAATAATACTAATGAAAGAAGATATAATAAGAGATTATATATAAAGATAAAATAATAAGGGATATAATAAGATATTATATAATAGGATAAGAAATAAAACTACAATTTAGGGCAATTTTCTCCTCTTCCACATGACACGTACAATAGGAACTAGAGGACGGAATGGAAAATAAATTGTTTAACATTTGTCATTTGAATATAATGTATTTAAAATAATCATAAATAGATCCATTGTATACTTTGAATATAGCTTTTTTAAGTATAGGCTGTGGGACTTTTGGCAATAATCGCGTATTTAAAAATTTCAAGTACTTATATTAAAACAGATAATCGAGCATAAACGCACTGTACAAAATTAACCAATATATCTCAGTTATATATTGGTCAATTAACCTACATACCCCGTGTATTAATATCATGATCAATATAATATATGAATACGAAATTTTTTAATATGAAAGTAATAAAAACGTAGAAATCCTATTTCGGGAAATAAACGGAATCATTTATCTGTTAAAATTGCCTAGTATAATACTGAGTTTTTATTTTTAGCAGTATCATTTTACGGATTTTAACCTGAATGTGAGTGGATCAATTTCTTGTATAAGAAATGTATTTTCAAGTATTGTATACATATAAGCATATCTATAAGTGGTATGTTAAATAATCTGTTATAAAGGTAACAAAGGCTCGAGGTTGGGGCTGGGTTAGTCACGAGTCAGCTGATCCAGTAACAGTCACTGGTTGACCACTGTAAAAGCGGTACAGAATTCTTCTTCAGGTTCGTATGAACATTTTTATTGTTTCGTATGCTTTTTGCGGCAACCTTGAGCTGTATTCATTGTAGAATATAATCATGACAAAAATACCATACTTCTGTACACGTTCATATTTATCAATTATATTTGGCATATGTGTTTTAAAAGGGCAACGACCATTGGTTATTGACCTTTAAAATGGGCCTTGAAAGTATATTCAAAAGTCATATATTTAAATTCCTTAGTTTAAATAGGCAATTTAAAGGCATATAATTAAAGACCTTTTTAGATATTAAAATAATAAATTTGTTGTTTTTTTAAATTAAAATTATTAGAATTATTACATAGTAAACGCAAGGAATAAGATTTGAATAATTACGTTTAATTAAAAAAAAAAGGGAAATAAGATATTATTATACAAGTGACGTGGGTTGTAATTTTCTGTACTCGTTCAGATAAAAGGTCGTTGCCGTGAAGATATCTCTGCAGACGCCCTCGTATTTCTATCGGAGAAATATAACGTACCGCTTTATAATCAATCAAATTAAATATTATTTGTCGTATTCCTGTTTGCGATTCTTAATGACTAGTCAACAAATTATGTATGCAATTTTTCACATTATCTTTTACACTACATCTTTTTCTTTATGACTTACAAATACATTTTCTAACTAGATAAATTTTATAGCGTTTTGCAGTGTTTTTAAATTTAAAACGCGAATTAAAAATGCGGTTAGTGATCTGTGATACAGTGGACTACGTGGCAGAATGGTCTGCGAAATATGTTTTAAAAAGAATCACTGATTTTCAACCGAATGAAAATAAGTACTTTGTCCTTGGACTTCCAACAGGTATACTTTCTCTTTTTTCCATACTGCGGACAGGAGAAAAACTTATTTCTTTTAGTTGAGGTCAACAGCACTTAAATGCTTATCACTTTTCAGGTGGTACACCGTTGGGAATGTACAGAAAGCTTATAGAATATTATAAAGCTGGAAAAGTTTCCTTCAAGTATGTAAAAACTTTCAATATGGATGAGTATGTTGACTTACCCAGGGATCATCCAGAATCTTACCATTATTATATGTATAATAATTTCTTTAAACATATAGATATAGATCCTCAAAATGTACATATTCTTGATGGTAATGCACCAGACCTAGTAAAGGAATGTGATAATTTTGAAAAAAAGATTAAAGAAGCTGGTGGCATTGAATTGTTTATTGGTGGTATATAAATTTTATAAAATAACAAATAAATAGCAAATGAAAAATTTATCTTATATCTAACAGACTGTTGTTCGACAGGTATCGGACCGGATGGTCACATAGCTTTCAATGAACCAGGCTCGTCTTTAGCTTCACGTACAAGAGTCAAAACATTGGCTCAGGATACGTTAGAAGCTAATGCAAGATTTTTTGGAAATGACATTTCCAAAGTACCAAAGCAAGCACTTACCGTTGGTGTTGGTACAGTAATGGATGCTAAGGAGGTAATGATCCTTATTACAGGATCCCATAAAGCATTTGCCCTTTACAAGGCAATAGAGGAAGGGATTAATCATATGTGGACGGTGTCAGCTTTCCAACAACATCCTCACACGATAATTATCTGTGATGAAGACGCGACGCTAGAACTGCGCGTGAAGACAGTAAAGTATTTTAAGGTATATGATTAAATTTTATTCAAATTCTGTTAAAAACATTTTTATTTTTAAATTTTTCATTAAAATGGTCTGAATATTGTATGAAACGTAGGCCCTCAGTGCTGTACATCATAAGTTAATTGAGGAGGATGGAGATGCAATCCCCCGTCGTTCAATGCAAAACAGTTAAAATGGTAGTTATTGCTTCAGCATTGCATAATTCTTGCTTTTTTTCCAAAGTACCTAAACCGAATTGAAAATCCTTATCCTGTTCCCGAATTTATTTCAGTAGTAATACCTTCTGTAGATGCAGAGTGTCTCGAACTTAGACAGTCAAACTGCGAAGGTCTAATCTAGGTTTACAGAGAAGAAAAATGTATATAAACTTTGTAGATTAAGCTCTCGCAGTTGGGCCGTCTGTATTTTGGATACTCTCTATATAATGCTATTTCTTGTACAAATACTTTTTTAACTGTTTAAAAATCCATGGCACTATATCCTGAAATATCATTACTTTGCATAATGCTTTTATGAAAGAGCTAGAAAAAATTGTGACAGAATCTAAACCTAGTTGTTCTTTACAGAATTTATGTGATTGCCATAGCAAACTCGGACAGATGTCGATTGCATAAAGGATGAAAAATATTATTGTTATGCGTATATGAAGAAATATATATATATATATAAAAACTTGAATTAAAAATCTTAAAAGTATGGATCTGAAGGTTTGATGTTGATGTTGGATGCTGAAGAGTGTATATTACTTAAAAAAGTACTCGATATGCGAGCCTCATGAGATATACATACATACTTGTTTTTAATAAAATGTATTAATGTAATGTTATTTACTACTTCTATTTTCAGCTTAAAAATGAATAAACGACGTATTTTTGTACCATTATACTTTTTATAAATAAACTTGATAAAATATTTTCCTATCTTAGGTATAAACTTATTCGATAATTATCGATTTCTTCATAAAAGAAATTGACAGTAGTCTTTATATATATAGTTATTTAGATCAGACCTTGCAAGTACAATAACAATTATCAATGTCATGATAAAATTGCAACCATCTCATTTTTCATAGATCAAAATGAAAATTCATTGTATACTATCAGAGAGGAAATACTATCAAGTATCCCGTGCGGCAAGTGAGTTGACGGATCGCTTATTCATGTGAATTCCGAGAAATAGCGAATAGAGAATAGAAATATAATAATGTTCTATTTAAGCGTCTCTTTCCGATTACAATGTTCGAGATTACATGAAATCAAATAATTGTTTCTCGATTTACTAATTTATTTAAAAAGTAGAATTAGAAGTTTAGCTTGTCTTACTCTTTATGCTTAAAAGAACATAGATTAATTCATAAATCAGTACACAAGCGACAGCATGTTTACAAAGCTGTTTAGCTGAAGCGCTATGAGTTCATACATTATTTAAAAACGTAGACTCCCCTCTTAAAATCTAGGACAAATCGACGCGGTGATAATGACTCGGAGAGATCGCTTGGAAGAACGATCCTATCACGGAGTGACATGGCACCGGAGATAAGTGGAATTGTGATACAATACTTAAAATACTTGCCTGATTTTGATACCTTACTTTCTTGCAAAAACGAACAGTATAGAGACACGTGTATTGCCTACGAATGTGTGATAATACGTGCGCCGAGTTAATTGATAAGAGCGTGGATCTAAAAATCTAGCCGATCTAACAGATCTTATAAATTTAATCGATACTGATAAACGTACAGAGTTTATTCACGATAGTTCCACCGGTTGTGACTGACCGCAGTTCAGAGAAATAGAATATTCTGTTTCGTTTTCGATTAAAACTACTTGAATTGTCATAATGACTGACGCTGAACATGAAATGAAGGAGATTGTGCTCCGTGACATTGAACCAATTTTATCCGAGAAGATCGACAAGGACTTGGTCGTTGAAAGTTTCACCAATAAATTGTTGCTACCGCCAGGAGAAAATTATGGTAGCACTATAATGAAGGTCGTCGTTAATTTGAAGAACAAGAAGACCGGGAAGGAAGAGGAACTTCATCTGATCGCGAAAATGCCTCCGCCGACGGAATTCCAAAGAAAAGTCTTCAACAGTCCCCGCACGTTCACGAAGGAGATCTTCATGTACGAATCGATCATGCCGGCTTACAATAAACTGGAACTGGAATGTGGCTTCAGGAAGAACGAGGTGTTCGATGTCCTGGCGAAATTTTACGGATCTAGACTGTCCCTGCAAGCGGACGGTGAATTCGACGACAATGCTGTTATTCTGATGGAGAACTTGAAGGTCAAGGGTTACTACAATGGCGATAGAACTAAAGGTGCAGGCAATATGATTTTCTCAAAAATAAAGCCTCATATGAAAATTTTTACTGTACATTTCCGTGTTATATGTTTGATGTAGTATCACTCCCTTCTCGATTGTATCATCTATCACTCCGTATAACAATTATAACGTTCGATTGGAGATAAGTTTAAGAAAGCGATTTATTTGATTTTTTTACTCAGGTTACGATCTAGAGCATGCAGAACTAGCTGTAAAGGCCTTAGCGAGATTTCACGCTTTAGGTATGGCCACGAAGGAGAAGAAGCCCGGTATGTACGAGATATTCAAAATGTACGCGAAGGCCTTGCAGGCAGAAGGCACTGCGGAAGACATGTTCAAGGTGGTGTTGAACACGATTCAACAGGATCCAGAGATGAGCCCTCACTACGAACGTTGCGATAAAATCCTATCGGGATTTACCCTGGAGAAGCTTTGGGCGGAGGAAGTTCGCGAACCGTGGTCGACTATCATTCACTCCGACTTCTGGGTGAACAACATCATGTTCCATCGCAGCGAGAAAGGAAAGATCGACGACGTGAAATTCGTCGACTTTCAAATTTATCTTTGCGCAAGCCCTCTTCGCGATCTGCTCTTCTTCGTGTACTCGAGCGTGGAGCCTGATGTTGTAGACGATCAGGCCGAAAATCTGTTCGATCTGTACTACGAGACTATGATCAACGTATTGACGAAAATGAAATGTAACACGAACGTGTTTAGCAAAGAAGACTTCAGAGCGAAATTGGCCGAGGATGCCAAAAATGAGTTCGTCCACGTGAGTTTCATGATAAAGGTGCTCACACTGGACGTAAAAGACATCAGCGATTTCAACGTAGACAAGTTGCAATCAGTGATGCTCGAGCATTGTGGCAACCAACTATTCGTCGAGCGATTACGCAAATTGGTGCTAAATTTTGTTAAACATGATTGGATATAAATTAATTATCGCAAATGATAAATACATTTGCAGGGTGTCCGGAACTCATAGTTAGACGGCCAAGCTGAGAGAGCTTAATCTACATCCAAAAATGAGAAATGCTTTGTTAAAGTTAAAAACAAATATGATATATGTGACTACTACAACTATACATTTCGTATTAGGCCAGTTTCTACTAGGAGTTCCGAAACAAAAAATTTACAACATTTTGAAATGTATCTTCTTGCGGTGGCTTCTCATAATCATACCCATTCTTTGCATCCAATATCTATTTGTAACTCTGTAACAAAGCGTTTCCTGACAAACTTTGTATAACATCTCTTCCTTCTTTTTAGATGTTAATTAACCCGCTACAGTTTAGCTATCTACGTTTAAGACATCCTGTATCTCAGTCTGTATAATTTGCACTAATTCGTAGTATCTATAAACAATCATGATAATTGAAAATATTTTCCGATATTACGGTAAAGATATCAGAGGGACAGAGATAAGATTCTTGATGATTAATTGATCCGTATCGATAAAATTTAATCAGTTCGAATTAAACTTATTGTTGGGTAATATTTACCCGTGAACGAGATATGTGCTTGAAATCATTGGCAAAACGAGGAATGCTAAAATCAGGATGGGTAAAACTTAAAATCCAACTAATCCAATGATAAAGATCGAAACCGTAAATGATTACCTAATTAATCTACTTTAGCCAGAAACTCGTACTCCCGTTATCAGAAACACACAATTTTAGGCAATACTTTTATCATTCCTTTAATAAGCTGTGTGCGATGGATTTGATAGCATCATTAATTTATCATGACATATCCTTTCTATAACACGTAAATTGCGATAACACAAGTTTATATTAACAAAAGTAGCGTTTGGACTACATATAAATATGTTGAACAATGATATTTATGTACAAAGGTTTAAAATAAAATAGTCAAATTACAATTTGTGTTTACGTATCTTAAGTGCCAAGATTATGATTATAATAATTTGATTTCTACGTATGTAGATACAATGATATCGATAAATATAATTTACCAAAATGCTAACTACATTCAGAGAAACTATCACTTCATTACAGATTAATTGTATGTAATATTATTCCTTTCAGTTTTTAATACACTCATGTTGATAAGATTCGTATTTAAAAGTTTTGTTTTATCATTTTTTTTATACGAAAGCAAAGGCATATGTATAGGCATTTGTATTATGGATAGCTGCTCAGATATGATATGTGAATGAGTACGCGAAAAAGCGTAGTGTTTGTAATGTTTTATGGCTTGTGATAATATGCAGTTTTATCAAAAGCGCAACAGAATTTGGTCGTATATCTTGTATAACGCATATCATATCAAAAGATTTTATGAAGATAAGTACATTATGTAGAGAATTTTTATGATAAAACTAATCTTCTGGACAGCAGACAACAGATAATGATGAAGACACTTCTCATAATTTTTAGATCTACGTGAGGGATTCACTGATTTTTATGATATCAATCATGTATAATACTGTTTCATTTATCATAATAAACTAAACCTCGTTTTTTCGAAATTATATATATCTCTGTATATTATTCAGAAATAGACTGCAGATTTTTATACAAAATAAAACATTTGTAATATCTGGTTATACAGTCACAAAAGCCTTGGTGTAGTACATTTGCGCATCGAGGATTTCTCCTCGGTGATTTGCGCAGTAATTTTGAAGAAAACGGATATTAACTTATCTGTATAATATCGTATCTATCAAGTCTTTTCAAGTTCTATGTATATAGGCATTTACGTACTCAGTACATTTTCAAAATGACCTGTTTATGGAGTAAAAATTTAGATAAAGTTACGAAACGAATTTTTTATCGCAAGCACTAATGTTAAATTACATAAATTTGAATGAAATATGTAGCTCGCGGTAAGAAAACAATATAATCACTCACTCGAAATAGTGTGAACTGGTTGGTGTGATGTGCTTTCCTACATGGACATTTTTACGCAACTGTTCGTCGTGTTTGCGATGGAGCGATCAGTTTCTTAGTGGTTGAGGCCACTTTTATTTTTTAGTTTTTCTATACTTTTACAAAACTTTTAAAACCGGATTTATGTACGATCAGTAACATCGCGAAACGTGGTTCTATAAGTTAAAAGTTTCATCATGATGCAGAATTTCCATCGCTTGACTCTGTTTATATGGCTCGTATCTCTTCTAACCTTATCAGTTAGCGATGAAATTAAAACAGATGGTACGAATTTGACGTCCGCGTTAAATGCAAGACTTACAGATAATGCAACCAAAACTGAACATCGAATTTCAGCTGAAATTACGCCTGAATCGACTAATTCAACGAAAACGCAGAACGTATGTAATCATTTTATTTGACAATCATAACGAACACATAGATTTAAGTTTAAGGCGAATTCTTTAAAAATAGTTCTTTACCTTGAGTTGCATATTACATTAATAATTAAATTGGTGTGAATACCTTGATGAAGATGTAAATATTATTGCAGCAGTATGTTGCCACTCCTTCAGTTGCAGGAGAAGGTGGTCCAATTCCAATCAATCCTAATACTCAGCAAACATCTACTACTTCCCACTTGACTTTAAATATACAAACTAATTTGTCAAAGGAAGAAGAAGATAATCAGTATGAGAAACAAAAAAAGTATATTTCTAAAATAGTATCAAGGAAAGGTGCAAACGATAAAAGGGATAATACTTCTTCTGTTGAAGTTGTATCATCTGATGATACGAAGCCAGTGGTTGAACTTTCAACAGTACCAAGCGATACTCATAATAAAGATAAAATTAACACAAATATGTATAACTCCAAATCAAGTATTACTGACAAACACATTGATAATGCTTCAACTGTTGTAAATAATACTTCTGCAGATGTAACACAAAGAAATATATTAACAAATGCTCCGGTAACAGCATCCACGGTTCAAGAACATAAACCTAAACCGACTGCAACAGTAGTAGGACCTAATAGCGATAAAGAAGCATTTATACCCCATACTAAGGGTTCACGCTTAGGAATGCCAAAGAAAATTGATTGTGTTCTACCAGTTATTGTTACACTCATAGCTTTGCCTGTATTGGGTGCTATTCTGTACATGGTTTATAAGCAATGTAGAGATTGTTGGGATAAGAGACACTACCGCAGAATGGATTTCCTCATTGATGGGATATACAATGATTAGTATTTGCAAAAGTGAAATTCCTTAGAATGTTAAATCAAGACGCTATTAGGTTGGTGCACATCATTCGACGCTTTATATCCACCAACCCAATACTCTTATACATATGTACAACGTACACAGGCAATTGACTTATCCTGCCATTGATTACATTTATCACTTATATAAATGGTTATAAATTTCTTGTTTTATTGCAGCTTGCTTTACTCTGTATTTTTATCATGCTACTGCCTTTATATGAGATTTATTATTATCGTTTGTTTTTAAAATTGGAACATATTCATACTTGTAATTTTAGATAAATAGTGTACAGGAAAGACAATATGGAAATAACAATCCTAATATTGATATTTTTGACATTCTATAAATGAAGCAAGGAAAGGCTTTAACTGTATTTTGTATATATTAAGGTATGATTAAATGCAAAAATAATATTTAGACGTGAAGATGCAATACAGAGACGCAAAAATAGTGAACATATTAAATTAATTTTAAAAATCAATTATTGCGTGTATTATAACTTGTTGCTAAGTACTCAATAGAATAATTAGTGATAATGAAATGTTATGAATTTGCTTATTTGTTTAGTATTCGGAAAATTGATATCTTGTTCAGATGTAATAAAGCAATAACTATTTTTATATGTATGTAAAAAAATCACTCATATTCTTATATAAATATAAATACTTGTAATTGAGAGTGTTTGATTATTTTCTACACTGTTTACTTATAAAGGAAACCTTGTGATATATGGATTTTAATATTTTATTAAAATTTTTTATGTACGTACATAAAATCGTTCGTATTAACAATAAATTTAATTTACAGATTTTGTAATGACGAATAAATAAGATAAAATGGAATAATCTGTCGTCTTCAAGAATCCGATACACATTTTCAATTTTTGGATCACATCCGTGTCGGATAAATTAAATTTATTTTTTTATGTATATAATAGAAAAGAAAAGAATCGACAACGGATCTATTCCGTGATTTGATTAACGGTTTTCTGTGTTACACATAATTTTAATTTAGAGGAGAACGTGATCATTGGATGTCAATATTTTTAACGACTTCAAGTAGATCGATTTAATTTATTTTGCAAATTTAAAGCTTTTAAAGTGCACAATCTTTGATAATTTATAACAATCTAGAACAATAATACTCTTCTCTATAATACTACGATATTAATATCCTCTTATTATTAGATTAAATTTATATTAAGTCATTGCTTTCATTATTGAATTAAATATAAAAATAGTAATTGTCACAAATAGTTCCATCTCAAATGTTGTATTCTCAATACAACCATAATTTTGTGAAGTAGATGTTTTTCAGAATATTGCTATACCATTTAATTATAACAAGATAATATCCAGACGAAACATTCGATATATAGTTCTAACGTAAGTTTCGCAGCAGTATATTTTGTTATAAAAAAGCTATTCTAACAACCTAAAATTCGTCCATTGAAGTTATACAGTATAATTTTCATAATATTTTAGGGATTATTTTTCTTATATTTCTGAATTAAAATAAAAAAGGCCAAACAATCGTAAATCCTAACGATCGTTCTTACACGTGGGAACCATTCGTTAAAATATTCGTACAATTGCATTTGTTGCGCATTTTTGTATAAAAAAATTATATAAATAATGGATATATTATTCAATCACTACGTCGATAAAACGAAACCGCTCACGAGATGAGAATACGTGAAAGTATGCAGTTTCTATACAGAAAAGCGTAACTTGATCGATTAAACAATAAACCATTGGGTAACATCATCTCTGTCGCATCTCGCTAAATTCAATTGGTCGATTGTTCTCGATCAAGATTAATAAAAAAATAACAGTATGCTTCACGTGTTGGAGTATTTCACACCACATTTTGATATTAAACGTATTTTCGTAACAAACTTTCATGATTTAATCACGATGCTCAATGAAACTTTCTATTTAGATTTGTATTTTACTTCATCTGGGAAAGCTTCCCTCGGAGGTATCAAGCTAAGCATCATTATGTGACGCTGATAAGCTCTGGAATTACGAAATTGCGTGTCCGTACCGTGAACGCGATCTAGCACCCCCAGGACTCCAAAGCATTGGTTGAATCTGAAATGATTTAATGTTCAAACGCTTTATCTTCAAGTAAACATTAAATTGAGTTATATATCTAAACACTACTGTGTAACATTAAATGTGTTATACAGATACAGAGCTTAAATGAAACTATTAAAATTTTGTATTTCATTATGTATTCAGAATTATACATATAGTCCAACAGAACTTTCATCGAACATAAAATAATTGTTAAAACTATACTTTTTAAAAAGAGATGAAGAGTTAATATATAAAATTCTCTTAAAACAGAAAAAATTGATTTAAAAGTTATAAAAATTAACAGTTTCATACGAACCCTGATTATATGCATACTACTAAACGTTAACACATAAAACAGGAATATTTTCCCAAATAATATTTGTTGTTTGAGATAGAGATTTTTACAATGTACAAAAATTACTTACTTCAAATGGTGAAAATCGTGAGCTTCTGGGGATGGAAAGAACGGTAGATGGTAACCGGAATGTGCGTTTAATGTAGACAGTATAGCAAGCGAGAACCAAAGCCAAGCGGTAGCCACATGAGAACCTACGATGAATACTCCCAAAAACGGTGGTAATAAGTTCGAGCCAATGTGTTCTAAGGGATGACAATATAGCGACGTTACAGCTATGGGGGCCGTCCATTCATGGTGCTGCTTATGTATATATTTATATAGATAGCGGCTATGCAGAAATCTGTAATGTAATTTTACTTTTACAATGGAGTTTATTTACAACAACGAGATATGTGAAACATAACTATACTACGCATTAATATGATAACATCTACTATACGATTCTTATCAATTACGATAAAAAGTTATTTAAAAATAAATGTTAATTATTCTAAAAATTATACTAAAATTTTTAATTTATAGGATACACTAAATAATTATTTTTAATCTATTTCAAAAGACAAATTTAAAGCTTTGGATATTTAATTGTTTCGAAGTAACTTCTACGTATCTTTCCTGGTACATAATCACGATCATCCTTATGTCAACAATAAATGAAGCTTTCTAAAATTTTCTAGCTAATCACGATTTGTAAATGATTAAAGATGAAACAGGTGTGACGTAAAAAATATACGTATAAATAGAAAAATTCCGTACCTGTGCGAGTAATAAAACGCAATTTCCTCGCACAATATGTGAATGGCGATTTCAACTAGCACCCAATGGAAGGTCGGCAATTCGCGTACAGGGGGGTAAGCGCGCCATTCCATAAAGTGATAACTGACGTACGCCAGAGGAACTCCAACAATGATCTGATTGAATAGCACTTGAACGATCACTTTGCACAATTCCCTCGTGTCGACTGGCTCGTTTGTACCCGGCTGTATTTTGTATCTCCGCAAGGCGGCCGGCCGATTAGTTATATCTAGTATCGTGTAAATACCCCCAAAGAACCAGTACACGAAGAACGTCAGCCCCAACGAGCCTGGAAAGCGTCCTCGTCAATTTCAAACGCTCATACTTGCACCTCAGATTATGTATACAATTTGATAAATACATAGAATGTTCCAAGTTAGATAATGCTACGGCGCTATTTTATTTGAATATTATATAGACAATTGTCAAGATCTTTTATCATTTTGAATAACATTTATCTTGGAATATTCTTTATATTTGGTTGTTTTATTCCGGAGTACCATGCACCCAGAGCGTGACAGGATCGTCCCCTAGTTTGTCTAAAATTTTATCCCATTGGGCTTGCCAGAAGTCGCCTGAGGCTCCCCAGAATCTCTGTAAATGCCTAACGAAGAGAAAGATCGAGGTGTAATGAAAATGATGAAGATACGAGTGATACGTAATGACTCATCATATCCATGTGAAATGTGTTTGAATGGAACACTGAAGATAGGAGATTTCAATTTATATGAAAATTTACCATGTAAGTGAGTTGCAGAGCGCAGCAAAACCGATCACTACGGTTCCGATTACGAAAAGGACGCTTCTCAAACTCGAAAGCAGAGTTGGCGGAGTTTGATTCTTACAGCCATCACCGCTTGCGGGTCTTACTGTAAGAGGAAAAAAGAATTTTGTCTTGACTCAGCGTAAAATGACCTTCATTGTAAGTTCATTCAGCGTTTAATAATCATGAGGAATCGCTGATACCGTTGAACAGTTATTTATCTACGCTTTTTATGTTTTGTATTTAATTTAAAAAAAAAATGTAACAAAATCGCGATCAGAAAAGGCAGCATTTGCATAACAGGATGTTACACAAGATAACCCGGATTCGATCGACAATGCACTGAACAGCCTCTCGACTTTAGCCCTTTTATACAAGTGATTACGTACAATTACCCTTTTTAACACGTTCGCGTTCAATCAAGAACTTAACGATTTTTCACATGGAATTATTATCCACGCAGTTCGATAGATAATAATTTAATTCGATATTGAATGATGCTAATTGCACTTTAATTATTATATGGCTATAAATGAAATATTGGGTTAGTGCACATAAAACAGAGTCTTCTTAAAAAGTAATAGATGTTCCTGTACATACAATGTACTTATATCACGTATTTGTTTCGAATAATTTGTCGATTACTCTTACGTATCCCTAAAATATATTGCATTATAAATACAATTGGCGATTTTTTGTCTTAGAGCAAGAAAAAGCAGAGTTCACAATTTAACCCCTTCCGGTAAAATGACGAGTCTAGCTCGTCATTGAGTTTATTATTATATCGTACCGGAAGGGGTTAATGATTCAATTTGGATACAGTCCAAATGTAATATAATTGAAAGTAATATTTCAGAATTCACAACAATTATGCAATATGATGAATATTTTATTTAAAACTTTGGAATCTATTTCGTTTTATCTATTTACAAGTTTTGCATAAAAATTAGCATAAATTTTATTAATACATTCCAAATTATCACATATTCAATTTGCCTTAATATAATAGATCGTGAGAGGAAACAGGATGGCATGTTTTGCAACTGAGAAATGCAAATTTAAAAAACAAACGACGCTTCATACGCACCAATCTAATCATCCCAATTTCTCATTTTTTCTAAATATTTTTTTTATTAACGAAGCCTCATACGCATCGGTCTAATAACTTTCACGACTGCTGACCCAGAAGAACATATAAATCTATGGTCAGTCAAAGGAGGTCGATGGAAGTTTGACGACATAAAAGATTCGTCTGGTGCACGAGCACTTGACTAACAATAAGGATTACCGTAGTAAATCTGATCATAGATAATACCTTGCTTGTTGTTGTATCAACGAATAGCATCTAAGTATTCTAAGTTAAGCTAGCTACGAACTTGTTTGAACACACCAGCTTGTACGGAGTAAAGAACCAAGTAATTGTTGGACCCGTATCGTAACGTAATTATGAATCGATTAGTACTGTTTCATATACAGAGCGCTCTACAAATTCATGATCGTGTTTTCAATTTTTTTTTAGATTAGAGCCAATTGTTTATATTTTATAATTTTTTGAAAATACAACGAAACATTAAATTTTAAAAGCTTAAAAATTTAACTAAATCCTAAAATGAACGCCACTTGATAGACCGTAGTAAACATCGTAATATTCGCCTCCTATCTATTAATCACTTTACTACACATGAACGATATTAAAATATGTCCTTGACGCTTTCATAGTTTGATCATTTTCCTTAATATTTAATACTCTTCGCATTGTTCCTTAATATTCTCTTCTCTTTTTATCAGTCAAAATTATATTTTAAACGAGGCTCATCACCGAAATAAATTAAAAATAAATAACTATAGATCGCTCGCCGCGAGAGTTTAATTGATGCGTAATACCGTTATTATGTAATTTCATTAATCACTTATTTGCATTACCTGATGGGATGAATTTATAAAATACATTAACGGCGCAGTAACCATAAACGAGCAAGATATAATTTGTTGCGAAATTTGTCTGTGTTCAATTTTAATGCTCTATGATTATGTAGTTTACAATGTATCGTTGGACAACGTTTTCATTTTTTGTTATTATTTTTATCTCTTTAAACCATGCTAGAACCAAATATGTATCTGCTATAGAATCAGAACAAGTGGGTGAAAGTTTCGTGAGTTCAGAAAACACATTGAAGTTTCACTCGCGGTAAATACGTCCGTCGATTTTTGAGGAATTTATTTTTAAATTGCCGATATTATTGGTAGACAATACATAGTTTATTAACATTATTAGTATTATAGCATGTGTATCTAAAGAAGTATCGCATTCCAACTTCGCATTCCACTTATATGAATATACTGGTAAATAAAGCGAGCAGACAAGTAGTGTCGAATACGTATTTGTAGATTGATTGTATGTAGCAGAACTGCAATTGACAAGAATACTGAAAATGACACGAAACAACACCGTACTTCGTTACATGTGACTCATATATTTACGTCAATGTATCAATGTATGCATTTGACACTATTGACTCTTATCCAAAATGTTGTTCCAATTCTCTAATAACAACATCCGTAGTTATTTGTGATACAAACAGTTGAAAAAGAATTATGATTACGAATTTGAATCCAAATTGTACACAGTCATAAAAATCAGTAACAATAATACATTAACATGTTAATAGTAATGTGTTGAAAGTCTTTTACGTATTATTGTAATGAAATAAAAATATAAACCTACGAGATTAATATTATAAGTTCAACATATTCTTCTTCTTCTTCTTGGATACCTATATTATTGAAATGTATTATAATCGAAAAGAATGTTCCGTTATTTAAAATTCGAGATTGCTAATTAATTTTATCGAAACACGTGTACAGATGAAAACAAGTGCCAGAAATGGATGACATAAGACGAAGGATACTATTTTGCTTATGCTTTGCATTGAAAAAAAATATTTTTTTATTGCAATTCTTCCAAAAGTTCCTTTCCGTCCTCATTCGCTTATGAATGAAGTAAAACAGAGAAATTGCTTTTACAGTTATGAGACGCAACGTAAATCCGCAAAGGGAACACGCTTGACTCACGTTCCATGGCATTCTCGCCTTTGTTCCGGGTCAACGTAATACCTTTTCGTCGGAACACCGTTGCGAGCAGCGACATCGTGAAACTGGTAGGTATTTATGTACAACGTACACTTTCAATCAACTTTCGTATAGACTAGCACTTTTCAAATTCAGACTCGTTTGACCGCGTTCAACATCGCGTCGACGATTGACACGCACTGGCCGAACCCACGTTGTTTCATCCTCGACTACGCTCCAGACGATATAATCGCCCCTCCACCGTTTTCGCGTCTCTTCGTTCCTACCACTTCAAAATATCCTTTCATCGAATTTTTCAAAAATATCTCTTTTTTTAAATAAAGTTCAGTGGTGCAACATTCCAAGTGCAGCCACTTTTAAATATCTGATGTCGAAAGTGATTCTATCAGATCGGTGCATGTGAAATATCCTTTTCTTCAAATGTAAAATACGCGAATATCGTGTGTTTGATTCGAATAATTTATCAATTACTTTTACACATCCTTGAATAATTTCATTGCTGTGAACATGAATATTGCATTGAAAACACAATTGAAGATTTATTATCAAGAACAAGTAAAAGCGAAGGTCACAATTTGATGATTCAGTTTCGATGTAATAAATTTGTAATGTATAATACAAAACCTAAATGTAATACAAAACCAATGTAAAAGTAATATCTCAGAACTCATAACAATCGTGCGATGCGATGTACGATTTATTTAAAACATTGAAACATAGTGAATAAAAAACAGACTGCAATGTTCGATTTTACTTTTCGATCTTGACAAGGAAGATTAAGAAGGAAAGGAGATCATTCCGAGTTCTCCAATTTATTTTCACTAATTTTTGTGAGAACTGCATTTGAAAAATAAATGTAAGAAACTGAGACGTTGATCATTCAAATCGTAGAAACAAACGACACGTCATTTCGAACTCATCAACCTAATTAAGTATGAATAGGATTTGTATGTTGTATAAATTACAAATTAATTATACTGTAGAGAAATTAAACGACTTAAAAAAAATTGTGACAATGTTTCTGCAAATCTACTAATTGCATAAATACAAAGATATATACACTCTGTTATTTCTAAGTTTTCGCCTCCAATCGTACATGATCCTATTTAACTTTTATAATGCATTCTTCATCTAAGTTAAATATACGACTACGAAATGCTTTTAACGTTTCGTTTTACTCGCATCGATAATATGTACACTGTTCCTTGTTAAAACGGACAAAACGTGACATTGACATTGACGATAATATATTCACGACCTCTGTACCTATCCTCTTTATTATACACATGACGCTATCGTGTAGAATCATGCTTGTTCTACTCGGATGAGTCTGATCACATCTTTCATCTTTGAACGTTAGAAACGTACATTTGACATTCTCATAGATATGTTACTTAGTTTGCTAACAAATCAGTATTAATTATCGTTACTGACTAGTTTCATACAGCATCGTAACAGGACTTTTTTATTTTCACATAATCATCATGAATTTTTATCAACATGAATTTTTTATTTCAATTTTCAATTTTTCATGATTAATTTAAACTGCAGTTCTATTGAAAATATTGAAGACTTCATATTTGTCATTTCTGATTGGTCAGTCTAAGTATGAAAAAGAAATACTTTTATGTTTAAGAAAGAAATAATCCCACGCTTTAACTAGTCATGCGAACATACAACTCTATAAACGGGTTAAAGGCTTAAGTAAGTTATGTTAGAAGGAACGTGTAATCCAAATGCTAACATGTAGACATACACAAAGCTTTTTTAAATGTCGATCTAGATTAAAGGTGAAGTGCAATGTTCCAACAAGTTATACCAAACTATTATTCATAAGTCGAGAATATCGCCTCATTATAAGAGTAATGATAAAATAATTGATTCAAGTATTTTTACATAAATCGCATATGCAATATTTATAACTAACGATATGATAATTTCTATTTTCGATTTCCTACTATTATTGATTTTTATATCGTCGTCGTAAACTTGAACAAAGATCCTTCTGACATGGAAAATAAGTAGGTAAGAAAACATACGATCCAATGTTAAATATAACTTGATTCATCAATATTCATCATAAAAACTATAAAAAAGGATAGTAACGTACATCGCGTCTGTTCAGTTTTGCACAAAAGGAAGTTTATTTATTATATGCCATGATTTGAATAAATTGAACCGAACATGATAGTTCAACCCAATTAATTAAGGTCATAGCAGAATTCCTTCTAATTGTGTATTATGATTACAATTTTATTCTATCACATTTACCAAAATGCATTAATTTCGATTGAAATGAAGCCTTTATACAGTACCAAAACTGCAATTTTAAAACTAAAAGTATAGTGAAAAAGATTATTATACATCTGTTAAGGTTTAATACTAACAATTTTGCGATGAAATGAATCACGTTCATCGTCGAATTAACAAATTTCATTATCGCAATTTTTTATTGCACAATCCCTGTTTATAGCCGTGACAGTGGGCAGATTGCAAAGTAGAATTGATTTATTTTTCGTTACGACCGAAACAATGAGCAATCACGCTCGATGAATTAGCACACGTTTATTTACATTTTCGTCTACAGCTTTTTTCCCTCCAAAAACGTAAACCAATGTAATCGAATGCTTATCAATACGCGCATTGTACGCCATCGACAGGAAGTTCAGAGCCAAGCGCAACGAAAATAAGTAAGATTGTTATTTATGGCGAGCTGTCGATGAAAACCGTAAACAGTTTAATTAAGGCAGTCCAATGTTATGCCATGTTATAAAAAAATTCAATACATATGCAGATATTAGTTCAAATCACCAACAAGTCATTCGACAGAGAATAACATCATTAGTTAATTGAAATGAAAGCGTTAAAAGAATTAAAGACATCAATTGTCAAGAAACACGATCGACTCGATTCACAAAATTTTTACACACACTCCGATCCTTGGGTTCGCCACATATTTACGCATGGATGTCATCGTTACAAATTGTAGTGATAAAACTCAGGAAAATAAAAAAAACGGAAGGAATGAAAAGGAAGTTGAAATCAACTGGCACTAAACTGTGTATGTGTAAACGAGAACATTAGGTTCAACGAATCCTAATTTTGCTCGTAGGAACTTATTCTCATAAGGGACCGCGTTAGGTTCGCTCGCGTCGGACCGTGTTTTGTCCACCTGTCAAGGACGAATAAATCAGGAAATGGTTTCTCTCACCTTTGTACTGGCTCTGTACGTCCATCATGCGTTTACGGAAAAACCACGGGAATCCCTCCGCTTGAAGTCAATGGATCGCATTTGCCACGGGACACACGATAGTCGATAAACGCAGACCGTTGATACTGGCAAATGCGCCGTAGCATCAAGCGCGTTCCTCACAGCTCGGTGTATTATATATTATACGTATATATACATATATATGCTATATATACTCGGTACTACACACATATATATATAGTGACACTGGCAATGAGTGTAGAAAGTATCCGTACACTTTTTAAAACAGAATAATTTTTTTAATCTGAATTCATGATTTGAATTTTTTTGAGAAATAGAGGGATTAATTCACTGTATGACCGATGTATTAGCAAAAGATTACAACTAGTGGAAACAGCGAAAATTAAAGCTGCTTGTTTTAACTTTCATACCTAAGTTTATAATAAAAATTTGTATACCATATTTTGAAGATCTATATATAAATTATATATTATGTACATATATATGTATCAGAGAGAAAATCTTTGGTAATAAATAGTTTTACGCGCGTGAACATTTAAAAAATTAGCTATCAGCTGTACTGTCAATCGAGCTCATCTTGCGTAGAATCCATGCGCGAGGTTAAAGAACGAAAATCTTGCATTAAAAGTTTTAAATTAATATGAACTCTGACAGAATACAGAGAACATTCCTTTAATATACTTATTGAAACGAATTGATTTACATATGTCACAAGTCTTGTTCTAAAGTTTTACTAAAATCATGCTTCTATTGAAAAAGATTTTGTAACGTTTCAAGATTTGAATTATGGATTCCCAATACAAGTTGGTATTCTTTATTATATATGATAACTTAATCATTAATTTTAATTGTTAGTTTAAT